CGTACCTCAGTTCCAATCTTATCCCTGCTTCAATGAGAAATAGGTATGTAGGACATTAGGCCTGGAAGAATTTCTGGGGTCATCTATTCCCAGCGCCTTAAAACTTGGCATTGCCTGGATACATGCCCCCATAGCTCCTCTAGTCTCTTTCCATGACCAAGGTAGTATGTATCACAGGCAGGGGTGGATTTGAGGGGCAGGGGTGCACTTGTGCACTCTCATCCCACTTTGATTTCTGGTCTGGCCAAAGTTCAAAGCCAACTGCCTGGCAGTGGCAGCAGCATTTCTATTCAGGCAGCAGCGAGGGAGTTACTTGACTTCACGATTCCTTATAATTTTCTTGATTCTTTCTAAAACCTTCATTCCACAGGTGTGAAGGACCCTCTTTCCTTTCAAATGGTCTTTAATGGTCCCACTACTCCAGCTAGCCTTTCTTCTGCAACGTGGCTATCTGTTACCTGCTCTTGGGCACGTAGCTCCCATTTCACAGCCCTGCAGGCTTCTTTTTTAATTTTAGCTAAAAACATTCACTCAGGTATGGAAATATAAACTCAGGTGAGCATTGGATGTACATTGTCCAGGTACTCAAGAAGTCTTGATTTTCTTTTTATGAATCTGAAAAAGACATACATTTAACTACAATGACTCCAGGACTAATGAAACAACTTATTTGGGTTATTTTTGCCTAGTTTCTTGTGTTTTTATATATAATATATGATCTAGCCAATTCATGCACATTCCAATAACGTTTTTTTTTTCTTTTTGCTTCAATCTTAAATTGAATAACCTAGCTCTAGGCCCTACTTCTTAGTGAAGCTTCTAGTTTCTTTTTAACTGGAGAAAAATGTGTATTGTGTTTTATGTGTTGATATACCACACCCTTTGTACCCCACTTTTCAAAATCCTGAATCCACCCATGATCTACAATCACCTGAAGGGTGAAGGGGGGTTATAAAGAGGAAGAGGGGTTAGAAACCTGAAGCGGGGTTTGAAAGAGGGTGGAGCTGGGCTGTTCTCAGTGGTGGCAGATGACAGAACAAGGAGCAATGGTCTCAAGCTGCAGCAAGGAGAGTTTAAGTTGGATATTAGGAAAAACTTTCTCAGTAGAAGGGTGGTGAAGCACTGGAACAGGTTACCCAGGGAGGTGGTGGCAGCTTCATCCTTGGGGGTTTTCAAAACCCGGCTGGACAAAGCCTTGGCTGGGATGATGTAGTTGGGGCTGGTCCTGCTCTGAGCAGGCAGTTGGACTAGATGTGACCTCCTGAGGTCCTGCCAATCCTAATTTTCTATAATTCCACGATGATCACAGGCAGAGGACCTTCCTATCCAAACAAGAAGCTGCTGCTAACTTATTTCTCCCATTTTATGTATTTCTCAGCCACGCTGGTCTTGTTTCTCCTATAGTCGGCATGAAATCAGGTGAGTCTCTCCAGAGTCAAAAGCACAGCCATGAACCACTGTGATGCTGAGTTACCTGGAGAATAGCCTTGTGCTGCATGGGTGCTACTGAAAGGGTTGGGCCAACGGTATGTTTAGTGACCAGTTCAAAACAGTGGAAAATGGGTAGACATGGTGGGCCAGATCTTGGTTTATGCTGTGGTCAATTTGTGCCAGCTGTTTCTGTTCCAAGTGGTCATTGATACTCATTTCTTGGAGTGTTGCTTTAACAGCAGCTAGGCCATGGCAGCACAAAGTGTCCAGACCAGTCACGGGATTGCCTTTTTACTTGGATGGCTAAACACCATGTCCTGCTACGCCAAGGGAAGGACTAGAGCACTTTGGATTGGTCCTCAGTTGTATTCAGCTGGTTCAAAGGGAGACAGCTGAAACTGGTTGCACTGAAGCTCTCCCACTCCAGGGAATGAGAAGTAGGGAAGCTAGAGGCTCCTTTGCTTTGCTGAGGTCCCCTCTCTGCTAGAGGCATGGAGGTTATGACCACACCTTTCTCCTTTCCTGCTGGCTGAGTAATGCAAAGACACAGAGATGTATCAAAGGCCTGGCCTCCAAGTCCTTAGAAACCCCATTATATGTTGTTATAACTGGGGCCTGGAGATGGATAATGGAGTCTGAAGGAATGGGACTTTCTGCCCCAGCAGTAGTGACCGGGATCCTTGCCTTTCCCATTGCAGTGATGGCAACGATCGGGCCCATGGCGCGGGACGTGGACAGCCTAGTTCTGTGCATGAGGGCGCTCCTGTGTGAGGACCTGTTCCAGCTGGACCCCACCGTGCCGCCCATCCCCTTCAACGAGGAGGTAACAATGGAAAGGGCATCCATGAGATGCAGCCCACGGGCTTTTGTGGATCTTCATCTTTTTGTATACCCCAGATAGTGCAAACGAAGAAGTGCCATCACTGTGGCTCTGCTGTCTCAGAGCATGCTTTACTCTTGCCTGTCTAGACAAAATCCCCACTCAACCATAGAATATGCTGACAGTAAGCTGTTTGGCATTTACCAGTATCAGAGACAGGCTATACTGGTCTTAAGAGGACCTCCATTTGAATATGCTCCATTGATTTCCCCTGTTTATAAGAAAAGTCTCCTTGTCCTTCCAGGTTTACTCCAGTTCAAAACCTCTTCGCATTGGGTTTTACGATGGAGATGGCTATTTCCAGCCCTCCCCCAGCATGAAACGAGCTGTCCAGGAAACCAAACGGCTTCTCCAGGGGGCAGGGCACACGGTACGTTTTGTGTCCCGAGTACCAGCATGGGGGCAGGGCTTCTTGAAGCTACACTCCCCATAGCGGTGTTCACTCTCCAGTGGCCTTGACCAAAGCTTTCTGCTGCCCCAGACTTATTTCCCAAGCTGTGGTGAATATTAAGAAAGAGCAAATTTATTAGGAGAGTCTCAATTCCCACCCACTGCAATCGTACAGGTTGGGTCAACCCAGCTGCTTTGAGTACTTGAGGGAGCATCAGGCCACAGTCCTTTCCATACCTTACATTACAGCTTCCTAAAGCAGGAGACCATGGTTTCTCTCTAATATTTATCAGATTTTCTGATTTCTTGGTCTCCCTTTGGGGAAGGAAGAAGCTGAGGAACTTCAGGTCGTGGTTGGGCTTCATGTCGCCAGTGTAACAATATGCACAATCTGAGCTTGGACCTGGGGCAGTACTTCTGTCATTTGAACTAAAATAGGTCGTTTTGTTAGCTGTTAGCAGTTAGGAGTTGTTATCCTCCCCAAATCAACCACTGCAACACAGGCTTTGCAGATGTGTGCATGTTCAAATTTGAGGGGACTGGATGGGGGCACCCATAGTTCATCTGAGTTTTTGGAAAGACCTAGGAAATGCCTCAGAAGTGGTTTTCTACTTCCACTGGACTTGGCCTTCCTGTCTTTGCCAACCCTTGCACAATGGTGGTTTCTGTGCAGCTCATACCCTTTTCCCCGCCTCGGATTGATTATGTGGTGGACGAGCTCTTCACCAAAGGCCTCTTCTCTGATGGAGCTGCAAACTTGTTGGACAAGCTGTGAGTAAAGCCTTTCCATTTTGCAGCAGGTTGGGGGTTGATCACTGAGAGAGAAATGCTTTTCAGGGTCCAATGTATTTTTGCCCATAAGGATGTAGAAACAACAGGCATCCATGTCTTAGGTTGAAGGCAGTCTCTGGTTCGGTCCACCCTGGTGAATGACTGTATCTGCCAGGTTTGTCCTGCCCTCTTGAATCTGATCCAGACAGGGCTACTAAGAAACTGAGTTTGGGACTTCTTGCTCTGTACTTGCTATAAAATCATAGAATCACAGAAAATGAGGGTTGGTAGGGACCTCAAGGAGGTCTCTAGTCCAGTCCTTTGCTCAAAGCAGGACCATCCCCTACTAGATCATCCCAGCCAAGGCTTTGTCAAGTCAGACTTTAAAAACCTCCAAGGATGGAGCTTCCACCACCTCTTTGGGTAGCCTCTTCTAATGCTTTACTACCTTCCTGGAGAGAGAATTTTTCCTAATATCCAACCTTAACTCCCCTTGCTGCAGCTTGAGCCCATTGCTCCTTGTCCTGTCGTCTGCCCCCACTGAGATCAGTCCAGCTCCAGCCTCTTTGCAGCCCCCCTGCAGGGAGGTGAAGGCTGCTACTAAATCCCTCCTCAATCCTCTCTTCTGCAAACTAAATAATCCCAGTTCCCTCATCTTGTCCTCATAAACCACATAGTTTCATAGTTTCAAGGGTTGGAAGGGACCTGAGCAGAT